GAATCCCTGAACCGGCTGAGCCCCGGGATCGGGTGAATCCCTAGACCCCAGGATCGGGTGAATCCCTGGACTGGCTGAGCCCTGGGACCGGGTGAATCCCTGCACCTCGGGATCGGGCGAATCCCTGCACCCCGGGACCGGTCGAGCCCCCTCCGGGCCCCGCCCCGGTCCGTCATCGGGCGGCGCCGGCCCCGCTCCCGTTGCCCGGTGACGATGTCGGAGCGGCGGGCGCGGGGGCCGCTCCAGCGGGTGCAGCGCCGGAGCCGGGAGCTGCGGGAGCAGGTACCGGGCCGGACCGGGACTATACCCGGGGGGACACGGCCCGACCCGGCCCCCTGACCGCCCCCGTTTCCCCCTGTCCCCGTTCCAGGTGGATGCGCTGCGGGCGGAGAGCGCGGCCGCCACCCCCGGGCAGCGGGAGGCCCTTCGGCAGAGGTGAGGGGGGTCCCGAGCCCCATCCCCAATCCCGACCCTCGCTCCCTGTCTTACCCTCGTCCAGCAGTCGCCCGGCTCTGCTCCGTGCGTGGGAAGAGCGAAGCCCCTGCGGATCCCTCCGTCCCCATCACTCTGCATCAGAAGGAGCAAAGAGTTCCTTCTCCGCCTTTTCCGTCTTCTCCCGGTTGTCCAGATGTCTCCCTGCTCCTTCTTTCCAGGCTGGTTGCTGCCCAGGAAAATCTGGAGAAGAGAAGGCCAAGAGGGAATCTCATAAATCCATACCAATATCTCCAGGGGGTGTCAGAGGATGGGGCCAGACTCTGTTCAGTGATGGGACGAGGAGCAATGGCCATAAACTAAACCACAAATTCCCCTTCAACATGAGGAACGACTCCTTTCCATGGAGGGATCAGAGCACTGGTAGAGCTGCCCAGGGTGGGTGTGGAGTCTCCTCTCTGGAGACATTCCAAACCCACCTGGGCACGTGCCACCTGCTCCAGGTGACCCTGTGGATGATCCACAGAGGTCCCTTCCAACCCCAACTACGCTGGGATTCTGCCAAATGCAAGTGGGAGGTTGCACATGGCAGGGAATAAACAGCCAAGCTGCTGTTTGGGCTTGGAGTTCTCAAGCTGCCCAGACACACAGCACCTAAAATGACACCTTTCAGTCAGCAGGGACAGTTTGGGGGAGAATTTTAAGAAAATACCATCTGTCTGTCTTGCTTTCCGTGCAGATGTATCCAGCTGAAGAAACTGGTGGAGGAGAACACGAGTGCTCTCCATGCTTTGAAAAAAGTGAGTGTGGAGATGAATTTGTTTGTGGTTTTCTCCAAAGTTCACCACAGAAAGCATTTAAAGACCACCAGCCTTCCATTTGAGATGCCTCAGGACAAGAGCAGTGCCCAGCACTGCACAGTCCCTGCTTGGCTTCTCTCCAGTTTATATGATTTATATCAATTTATGTTATTTAAATACTCGCTTTAAAGCTTTATTGTGTCCAAGTCCTGCACATAAAATGTTTTATCAGCCCAATGCATCCTTTGGAAGCAGAGAGTGCAATTTGAAATTTAACATGGAATTTCACCTTGGCAGAGTGAAAGGGCAAGGAAAATGTCACTGAAAAGGGAGTGAGAGCAGCCCAGGGAGGGGAAAGCTTATAAGGCATGTCTGGAAAACTAAATTTATAGGGGAACTTTGATTCTTTGGGCAATTTGTTGTGTTCTTTCTCAGGCTGACGAGCCTGCACCGGTGGGGAATTACAACCAGAGGAAGGAAGAAGAGGAAAAGCTGTTGCTAAAACTCTCCCAGCAGCTGCAGAAACTCCTCCTTGTCTTGGGTCAGGATAACGTGACAAAGTATTACAGAGTGTGAGTAGCTCAAACACACAACCTGTGGTTTTATAGAATGGTTGGAAAGGACCCTGAAAAACTGTCAGTTCGTCCCTTTTATTATCTGAAAAATAGAAGGAAAAAAAAAGAAGTGCTCACGAGATGAGTGATTTCTGGCTCACTGGGTGTTGGATAATGTTTGGAGGAGAAGGAAGGAGGAAGCACCACTGGGATTTTGGAGTTTCTTCAGGACAGAGAGCAAAACACAGGACTGAAAACGCTGTGTCTGACAGCACTTTTAAAAAGTTTGGTCAAAATTAGAATAAAAACAGTCTGATTTGTTTTGGTAGGGATGAGAAAGGTCCTCATGGAGAAGATGGAAACGAAGAAGAGGAGGAGAGTGAAGATGAAGAAAGTAGTGAGGAGGAAGACAGTGAAGAAGAAGAAGATGAGGAGAAGTTGTTGGATGATCCAAACGTTAAAGAATGTGTTGCTGTTGGAAACTTTGAGGCACAGCAGGAAGGGGATCTCACATTTGAGGTAAATACTCCCTGTAAAGGGCTTTTACTGCAGATCAGTCTATATTAAGCAATAACTATAACTAAAGCCTATGGTTTTGGGATTCAGCCAGTTCCTTGTGGGATCTGGGGGGAAATGGTGGTTTCTTGGAGTCCAGTGTCCTTTTGCCTTGGCAGTGTCTGGGATCTCTGTTGTAGGAAAAAATCAAGGGTTTGTAGGGTTTTAATATAAATATTTGGTTGTCTTTTGTCTCTGTCTCTCCTTGCAATGCCAAAGAAAGGTGAAATCCTGCTTATCCACGACAAGAAGGTGGATGGCTGGTGGGTGGCTGAAAATTCCAAGGGGGAGAGAGGCCTCGTTCCCAGGACCTACCTTGCGGTTGGTGTGCTGCGACCTCTGTCCTATCTCACCTCTGGGCTTTTAATGATCATACAGCTGCAGAAAATTGGGCACAAGGCTTGTGTGGGGATGTGCAGGAGTGTGTTGTTTGGAAGTAACGCCAGTTATTTGGAAATAATGCCAGTTTTTGGGAAATAGTGCCAGTTTTTGGGAAATAATGCCGAGTTTTTATCCACGGGGATGGAGATGTCCATCAAAAGCAGCATTTTTTTGCCTTGTGAAGATGTGGCTGAGAAGTTTCTTGAATACAGAAGTCAATCTTTGTCACTAAAGGTCAGCTCTGATGACTGCAAGCTGCTGTGGATTAATTTGGGCTTTTTAATGATTTATCTGCAAAGTGAGTCCACGTAAATGCTGGACAGTTTTCTGCAGCTACAGTGATGCATCACAGACAGAATTTCTGCTCTTCTAAGCTATTAATGTGGGCTGTGGTTGGAGAGGGCACTTTTAAGGACAGAACTGGGAAGAAATCAAGCACTCTGCCCTTTTGAATCTGAACTGCAGGTTCCCAAGAAAGAGGAAGAAAGCCAGGAGGAGAGGGAGGAACACGTAGAAGTGGTGGATGAAACAGCAGATGGGACTGAAATTAAAAGGAGGTAAAAGGAGTGATGTGAAAGCAAATAAGTATAACATTATTCTTCCTCCCCCTTAAACCTGGCATTACATTTCTTACCTCACAGGGGTCTTTGGTTCTTTTCAGTACAAGAGCCACGTGCTTTTTTTTCTCTTGAGTGGGTTTGTTGGGGAGTTCTGAGGTGTTAGATATGGTCAGGAAGCTGCTGCTATTTGAAAACAGACCCATGTTTAGTGTTTAAATTTTCATCCACACAAGGCTATGTTCTAAAAACCCCCATTTTTCTTCCAGGACAGACTCTCACTGGAGTGCTGTACGAGCCATCACAGAGGTGGGTGCACCTCTTACACCTCTCACCTGCCATAATGTTGATTATTTTGTCTCATATTACAGACTGTTCTTATTAATTAGCATCTCTGTTTTATGGGGGTGGTGTTTGGCAGCAAGAAATGCCACAGAAATGCCTCAGATGAGGTGGCTCGTGCCCCAGATCTCTGGTTTAAATGGAGTTCTAAATTAGCTGTTGAATTATGGCAGGAACACTGATACAATTTTGGTTTCAATAGCATGACACAGTGGAGGTACTGACCACCATAGGAGCAGTTCCCACAGGATTCCGCCCGTCCACGCTTTTCCAGCTCCTAGAGAAAGGTGAGGATTTCTCCTGAGAGTTCCAGTGCAGGATTCTCAGGGGTCTGTGGTGAGTTCCTCACCCTGGTCACCAGCCTGTTGGAGTACAACCAGTATTGCTTCATTATAATTGGCTATATTTGACCCATCAAATACTGTATAAAAGGCTTTTTTTCTCCCCCCCTTCAATTAGGTTTTAATTTATCTGTGTGAAATCCTGACAAATTTCCTCACAATTTCAAAGATTTTCCTCTTTGGAAGATCCTGTTGACATTGGGGGAAATGATGATTTTTTTAAATGTTATTTTAATCTTCCCTTTTTCTTGGGGAAGATGATTACACATCTCATGTTTTGGTTATCTTTTTGTTAATTAAATGATTGTGCTCCTGGGATGAAACACTGCAGAACACTTAGAAATAGCAACCAGTGCTCATAGGAAACACCTCCATAGTTTTGTTTGGTCAAATATTCAGCTGGACCCGAGTTTTGGGTGTTGTTCATTTTTGTGGCAATAAAGGTCATTTAAAAAATGCAGGATTTTCAAACTTACCCTTGTTGTAGACGATGAGTTTCGAGCGAGTTCCTACTTGCAGCCCGAGCTGACTCCATCCCAGCTGGCTTTCAAAGACCTGGTGTGGAACTCTGAAAAAAACACTGTGAGTATCCCTGGTAAGGGAGCCTTGATGCCTTTGGGTTGGGGAAGTGATGGGATTCTCCAGGTGGGAATTGGTGGCAGGATTTCCCATTGGTGGGTGAAGGAGAGGTTGCCATGTCCACCCGGACTCCTTAGGCAGGAGATGTTACCACATCCTCCTCTCCACTAGGCAAAAAGTCAGTATAAATTGTCAAGTTGGGTATCTTTTAAGAGCCATTTAAGTCTGTGGATTCCTTCCCTGTCTGGGGTGAAGCAGTGGGTGACCGGTGTGAAGTTTTAAACCGTGAGCCCTGTGAAATCACAAATTGAATTTGTCTTCATTTTTGTACTGTTTTTGGAATATTTCTCCTGCTAGGACTTTGCTTGTCCCACTAAAACACCTGTAGCAATCTCCTCAGGGGAGAACTAAAG